AAACATTTTATTAGAAAGTCGTGGCCTTCTAATATGACTTTTGCAGATATGACTCAGGGTGGCCTTCTAATGGGGGTGGCCTTCTAATATGGGGTGGCCTTCTATTCTGGGGGGGAGTTTAATATAGATTCTGACAAGACATAAATAGAAATTGCAAGTGTAGTTAATCGATCGTTATACCAGTTGATTTTTTTTATTAATCACAAACAATCAACTAGTTCATTGTAAAAGAAAAGAATAAAACGATTGGTAAAAACGATTTACCAATCGAAAGCCAGGCTCGTTCATTAATTCATTCTTTCACATAATATACTAGATCTTTTTCTTCGACCTAACAAAAGCGGCATCTAGAGTATAAGCTAGTTAATGAACGAACACGAAGATACCAAAAGATGATTCAGTGTTGGAACAATCATCACTTCTTCGAAGTACACTCATTCTGAATTTAAGTCTGACTCTGACTTCAGTTTACATCAGGAACGTCTTAATTGTCTCTTTTACATCACATAAAAGTATTTCGCATATCTTTTCTCGTATGTTGTGCAGTACAAAGGATATCGTTCCGGTTGCTTACGAATTAAGTTACTTTCAATCTTGATTTTAGATTTTATAAATGAATAACAAATGCGACACGTCTATTTTACCGAATAATGTTTTTAGTTTGAAAAGAAATGAATTTTTTGAATGCATACAACAATTAGCTGGTGAAATGTTGTGTGAAATTTTAAAAATTCAACTTATTGATTCTGCACAGGCACTCCTGAATTCTAATGATATTTTCGGTATATTTAAATATGATTCAGCTGAAATAAACTGTTTGAGAGATAAAGTATGTTTTAAAACAATAAAAGGTGATTATCTTATCAAAAGTGGTATCACAACAAACCTATTCATGCTAAAAAATTTATTAAATGCGAAAAAAGAAGAACAACAAAATCTAAATAATAATCAACAACAAGAGCAAAGGTTCATTAATTTAATCAACAGTAATTCTATGCTAAAATGTTTATTTCGTTGGTATGAACAAAGTGAAAAAGTAGAGAATAAAGAACCACCATTTTTAAGAACATTTATCGATACAATTACAGACAATTTAACTAAATCACCAAATAAATATCGCTATCCTGCATCTGTAGAACAATTTGCATTGTCACTATATATATTGGGGGGCAGAATGACCTATCAATTTTTGAGAATGAACTTGTCTCCTGCTTTACCCAGTGTACAGACATTAAATAAATTAATATCGAATAGTGATATTAAAATGAATGAAGCACATTTTCGTTTTGATAAATTAAAAGAATATTTTGATCGAATTACTATCAAATATGCCTTTGCCTCGGAAGATTGTACAGGTATAATAAGAAAAATAAATTATGATCAACAAACAAACTCATTTATTGGATTTGCTACGCCACTTATTAATGGAATACCAACTGCTAACTATTATCAAACAGATTCTTTTGATCAATTAAAGTCATGGTTTAGTTCGTCGGACAAATCATCTTTGTTGAATATACATATGATTCAACCTTTGCAGCCAGCAAATCATTCATCTGTTCCAGCTGCATTTTTACTATCGGCTTATGGTGTCGTCAACACCTACACATCAATTGATATTTTACGGCGATGGTACTTTATATTTGATAACTGTTCACAGAGAAACATTCGAATTATTGGTTTTTCAACAGGTAAGATTGTACTTTTCACTATTTTTTTACCAGTTTTGAAAGAAAACCTATTTTGTTCTTATTTGCTTTGTTTAGATGGCGACGCAAAATATCTTCGCGCTATGCGCTTAGCCAGTGGGTTCTTTGCATCGTTGCCACATTTTAAATTAAATGAACATCAAGAAGCATTTGATTTAACAACAATAACAACAAAATGGTCTTGGTTTTATTTTAAAAAAAAACAGCTATTATTGTTTTTCCAAGATGGCATTCATTTAGTTACTAAATGGAGGAATCGTCTGTTGTCATCCACGGCACAACTTCGTCTTGGTTCACAATATATATCAATAGAACATTTATTTGATATTATTGAAGATACCAATTATTCAAAATTAGACCACGGATTAACTCGAAGTGATTTAATCCCAAAGACCGTCAGAATTACAATTCCTGCGTGAAAATATCATCAGATGATATTTTGTCTATATTAGCTGATGGTACTGATACTTATGGAACATTTATTTATTTAAAATTGTTGAAAATGATAATATTGAGTTATGTTGAAAAGACAACAAGAATCAATGAACGTAAGTATACTTATCTTGAACATAGATTTCATAGTTCAACAAGTTTTATCTCTTTTGTATGTATCTTTTCGAGGTTTACAATCTGCTTGGTGCATTGTATTCGTTTGTCGCATGTGGTGGGCTTGGATTCAGAATAAACAATTTATATCAAAAGCGACATCGACAACAACAAAAAACAGTACAAAATCAAATGTTTTTATTACTAAAACAGCATATTTATCAGCCGAATTAAATGCTCATAGCTTGCTTTATGTAATTTTGTTGGTTCAACAAAAACAATTACCAAAAGAAGCATTGAACATGTATTTATTTAATTCTCAACCATGTGAATCAATGTTTCGCAATGCCAGATCATTAAGTGGTACATATTCAACAAGAATCAATTTTACAGCTGCTGATTTTCTTCAGCGTTCTCAGAAAATTGCAATATTAAATTGGATAAAGTGCGATCAGTTATCTCAAGAAGATGATAATGAACTTCTATCATTTCCTATTCATCACAAGCACAAACGTGATAATCATTTATCATCTTTACAAAATTTAGATGACATTGATCAATTGGATATTGAAAAAATCATCGTAGATGCATTTAACCAAGCACTTCAATTAACTGAACCTTTAGAAATATCTAAATTACTAAAAGAACATAATGTATTTGACTTGAATACGTTGAGCAAATATGTATTTCAAGAATTAAATTCAAGCTCCAGAATGTTTGATTACTCCATACAAACAATTGATGATGATAGTAATGAATTTAACCTTGAAGAAGAAGAAGAAGAAGAAGAACAAGACAATGAGAACGATGACATCAACAACAATCTAAATGATGACGAAGAAACAATGGACGACATCGATCTTGAAGAAGAAGACGAAAATAACTATAGTATGACGACTATAAAAAGAAACTTCAATGGTATAAAAATTTACGAAGATATTGAACCATGTCGACGAAATTCTTATTTTAAAATGAAACTTAATGATAATCAAAAATATATACATAAACAATCCGCTTGCTGGCTGTTAACAGATAAATCTGTGAAATTATCCAATGATCGACTTTCTCGAGTTAACCAAACAAGTCGTAAAGATAATAACGATCTCTTTTAACTTATTGTTTGAATTGATTTTTTTCTGGCAAATATAGTTGAACGATCTTCCAAACAAATTCATTTATTTATTTATATATTTCATAGTCGTTCCCTGTACTTCTTGGTACTTCTCGGTACTTCTTGGTACTTCTCGGTACCTCTTGGTACTTCTCGGTACTTCTTGGTACTTCTCGGTACTTCTTGGTACTTCTTGGTACTTCTCGGTACTTCTCCGTACTTCTTGGTACTTCTTGGTACTTCTCGGTACTTCTCGGTACTTCTCGGTACTTCTTGGTACTTCTCGGTACTTCTTGGTACTTCTTGGTACTTCTCGGTACTTCTCCGTACTTCTTGGTACTTCTTGGTACTTCTCGGTACTTCTCGGTACTTCTCGGTACTTCTTGGTACTTCTCGGTACTTCTTGGTACTTCTTGGTACTTCTCGGTACTTCTCCGTACTTCTTGGTACTTCTTGGTACTTCTCGGTACTTCTCGGTACTTCTCG